TGTTCTCCATCTTCCTGCCTTTTCTCCCCAAAGCTAGAGCGGGGCTTGCTAGCAGCGGTGGGTCTTCCGTCCCAAGGACCAGCTCATAGATTTCCACTACTCTCCTCTCCTCTGCTTATGTGCATCTGTGTGTCGGGTACTGGACCCAGCTCTTCCTTCTCTTGCTCATCAGCCACCTAGCTGACTTTCATGCCTACTGCAGGACTAGAACTCCCAATCAGGTTTCATGCTTAAGGCAGGACTAGAACTCAAGTCTCCTGGTTTCAGGGCAGTACCTTAACCAGTACACTAAACTGGCTCCTTAATTAATAAATTAATCACACTTATTTACACGAGCATTTACTCACCTGGGCAGAAAGTCTCATCTATGCCAGAGGGGCAGTCCTGCCGGCCATTGCAAACCAGAGCTTTGGGAAGGCATAGACCACTCGGGCACTGGAATTCCCCAGCAAGGCAGGCGCAGTCGCGTTCATCACTAAAATCACCGCAGTCATCGTGCCCGTCGCAGCGATGCAGGTACGGCAAGCAGCGCCCAGCCGCACAACGGAACTCACTCAGCTTACAGGCTGGTCCACAATCTGGAACGGGTGGGGGGAGGAGAGAGGAGAATTTGTTTTGGGGGGAGGGGGGGCTAGCAAAAATCGAGTGGGTTCCTCATGTTTTTTTAATTTGTTTTTTTTTATTACTTTGAATAAAAGAACAGGGGGCTGTGAGTTTGCTCCTAAGTAGAGCCAGCTATTTCTCTCTCTCTGGGCACACCAAGAAGATATCTGCTGAACAAAACTCCGCACTGGCAACAGGAAAAGCATCCGGCCATGAAAACACTCTGCTAGATTATGGGGTCATTAAAAAAGAAGACGATTATCATACCCCTGTTAGAGTCTAACTCCAAGGGAGAGGAGAAACAGCTGACAGGGAGTGTGACTCTGGAGGTTGTGGAGGAAACTGGGGAAGGGCAGAGGCCGCTGGGCAGTCAGAGGAAGACCCAGGCCCATCCCCTCTAGGGCACGCAGGGAGGAGAGGATAAGGGAGAAACGTGAGTGGTGTGGTCTACAGGGGAGGGAGGGGCCCTGATCCCCTTCATGGGTTGCAGCTGGGAGGACGGGTTAAAAGGACAAACTGCGCATGGCAAAGTTGCTTTAAGCAAAGCATGCATTATTCTTGTCGGAGCTTCTCTGTGTTTTGGCTTCCTCCCAACTGTGGTCACTGTGTTATGTAGTAGAAGTCTGCAATTAATCATCCTTGCCTGCCGAAGTGATTCCTTCAGTGTGGTTTGTGTTGGTTTTTTTTATTTTGAATTAACCTTACTTTGGGTGCGGGCTGCATTTACTCCCTCCGTAAACTATTTTCTTTAAGAGTTTGATTTCCAGCCAAGGATAACAGGACATTGGGGGCCAAGTTGGAGGCATTAAAGGGACTTTATTTTTGTGTCACACCCCAGGTCATCCCAACAATGACTGAGGAATGGTGGTCTCTCCTCCCTCGTCCCCTTTTCTTCTGCCCAAGTCTTCCCTCAGGATCGCACCTGCCCTATCGGTTGCCTTATCTCCATTGTCTCCAGCTGAAATCTAGAGATATGACAAGATATGGGGAGTCCTCGCCTCATGACCGCCCTTTTGAGCCCTCAATTTCCGCTGCTATGGTGGTTCGAGGAGTTTTGCCCCATTTTGGGATCACAGCGCTGAAGCCAATCCCCTGCCTCCATTAAGCAAGTCGGGCAGTCGGTAAATGAAGCAGGCCTCCTCCTTTGGCTCCGCTCGTCAGAGGGTCTTATAACCCTTGAAGCATCATAAAGGATGAGTCAGTTGCCGAGCATCCAAATTTGGATACTCACCAGACCCCGGGGAGGCTGTGAGATGGTCGTAAGTGTGAAAAACAGTCATAAGCCATGCCGTTGTAACTTAGAACGGTCACGAAACACATTGTAAGGCGAGGATTAGCTGTACAAGGCCAGGATCCGGGAAGGCCAACCAAAACGAGCCTGGATGTGTCGGAGCCTTTCCTGCAGGGCCCAGGGCCCCTCCGGGTAGACAGGGAACGCCACCATGGCTGTGGCGTCCTCTTTCCCTGCCTGCTTCCTTAACTGATCCCTTCTCCTGGCAGCTCTGCGCATGCGCACACTGGGAACAGGCTCCGGCTGTCCTTCCCCATTGATCTCCGACTCCGAAGGCAGCTGATAACTGTTGGACGGCCTGGCAGCCCTTCCAGACTCCATCAGAATAGAGCTGGAAGGGAGCCTGGAGGTCTTCTAGTCCAGCCCCTGGCTTGAGCAGCAGACCCTCTACCTATTCAGACAAGGGGCTCTCCGGTCTCTTCTTAAAAACCTCCAGTGATGAAGCACCCACAACTTCTGGAGGCAAGCAGTTCCACTGGTTAATTGTTCTCAATGTTAGAAGAGAGGGAGGGAGGGAGGGAGGAAGGAAGGCAAAGGTAGAGGGAGGGAGAAAGGGAGGATTGAAGGAAGGGAGGAAAGGAGGGAGGGAGGAAAGGAGGGAGGAAGTAAAAGATGGAAGAAGAGAGGGAGGGAGAAAGGGA